GGTTTTTTTTGATGGAATGATTTTTTTTTTTTTTTTTTTTGGTTTGGCTGACACTCATCATCTTGCTGCTGGACTGAAACTCAACTGCCTGTTGATGCGTTTCCTCTTGAAAGTTGCCCCCTCTTCATCCTGCCTCCTGTCAAGGATGGCCCCCCCCCACCTCTCCACTGGTTTTGAGAAGCCCCCCCAACCCCCTCGCCTCCACCTATTTTCCTTAAGGTTCTGGGAATTTAACCACTTCTGCCCTTTCCCCTTCTCCGTCTCCTTCTTCCACTTCTAAATGTTGCATGCAGCCTTCACCTCCTCCTCCTCCTCCTCCTCCTCCTCCTCTCTGGACTTTGGCCATCTTCAGCTGCACAGAAGGAAACAACCGTCCTCCTCCTAAACACAGGTTCCTGGAGAAAAAAAAAAAAAAACAAACGAAAAAATGATCCTAAAAAATGGTATTTCCCTAAAACACCACTAGAGGCCGTCCAAAACTTTCAGCGACACTTTACGTCACTGTCCAATGTGCTGGTGATAAACCTGCCAGGAGAAACTATTGCACCAGTCACCGTCTGACCACTAGAGTGCAGCATTAGACCAGTTGTGATGACGCTATACTGCAGTAGTTTGTATTCAGTATCTGGATACAAAGAATATTTACTGACGTGTCTGTGGTTGTTTGTCTGTGTGTCAGTACCAGCCTGGTCCACATCAGCATCTGTACGTCCACCAGCTGTTGGTGTTGGTGTTACTGTTACACTGCACTGTTACAAAAGATGTTGGCTTTGAACACACGTGTGTACTTTAGTGTTGAGTCGCCACAACAGTTGGCCTAGAAGAAGCAGCAGTGACAGCAGTAACAGCAGCAGCAGTAACAGCAGCAGCAACAGCAGCAACAGCAGCAGCAGCAACAGCAACAGCAGCAACAGCAGCAGCAGCAACAGCAACAGCAGCAACAGCAGCAGCAGTAACAGCAGCAGCAGCAGTAACAACAGCAGCAGCAACAGCAGCAGCAGCAACAGCAGCAGTAACAGCAGCAGCAGTGACAGCAGCAGCAGTAACAGCAGCAGTAGTAACAGCAGCAGTAACAGCAGCAACAGCAGCAGCAGTAACAGCAGCAGTAGTAACAGCAGCAGTAACAGCAGCAACAGCAGCAGCAGTAACAGTAGCAGCAGTAACAGCAGCAGTAACAGCAGCAGCAGCAACAGCAGCAGTAACAGCAGCAGTAACAACAGCAGCAGCAGTAACAGTAGCAGCAGTAACAGCAGCAGTAACAGCAGCAGCAACAGCAGCAGCAGTAACAGCAGCAGTAACAGGAGCAGTAACAGACTCCCCCCCACCCAACCAACCCCTGTAAACAACAACAACAACAACCATTCTAGCCTAGCACTGAATAACGGACTGAAATCATGTCTGAAGTAAATATTCCACAGAAACTGTATTATTACTCTGTAGAGTAAAAATACTCTATTACTCTATTACTATTATCAGTTTATTACTGACGAAGATGTGGAAATGACTAGAACATGTTGACGTGTCAGGATGACTGACACCGTTGAATGCTGTCATCTCCTCCAGCTAGCAGCTAGCAGCTAACAGCTAACAGCTAACAGCTAGCTCCATGCCTGATGGCCACTGTTGTGCTTCATGTTTGATCTAACCTCTGCATGCTGTGAATTAACCCCCGCATCACTCTCCTCTGCTGGGTGTGTTTTGGCTTTTTAATCCACATTCATCTTTTGGTCAAAGTCGTCATTACCACAGATCAACACCAGGCTGTGCTATAGTCCAGACCAATAATATATGTGTTAATATATTAATATATACAGGATATGAACTCAGCTCCAGTGCAATGTTTCTGAAACAAAATCTTCATTAGGTTTAGAAACAGGATTTTATATATTTTTCATGCTTTGATTCTGTCACTGTCTCCATGTTGGACACGGTGTGGTCTGTGGTGTTCAGGGACAGACTGTGGACGGAGTGGTAGAACCATCTAGAATAATCCTCCGCTCTCGGCCGCCGTGCTCTGCCTTTACATCTCCATTTGTGTTTGTGTGTCCGCAGCCAACAACAAGGAGGAGGCGGTGGTGGTCCAGAAGGCCCGTCCGGTCTCCACCGATGTTGGAAGCAGCAACCCAAATGTCTCCGACCTCATGGACGAGTTCATCCAGGAGAGGCTGGGGGTCAAAGGAACCGTAGTGAGGGCAGCACCCGCCGACACAAACACCAGGGCTGAACGCTCCATGTTTGTCAGGGGCGTCCAACCCTCAAACGCCGTCTGGCTGTTTTTTTTTTACCCTGCAGGGCCGTCGTGGCAGCAGCCCGGGCAGCCTGGAGGTCCCCAAGGACCTGCCTGAACTCCTGGAAGCAGGGCAGAGTCCCGGCTCCAGGCCGTCTGACGACCCTCGGCCCGTCGACGATCCCGGGGTTCCGTCTGAGTGGACGTCACCTGCCAGTGCCAGTGGTTCTGATGTCATCAGTTCAGACAGCCAATCAGACTCCTTCAATGCCTTTCAGTACTCCACCTGCAAGTTTGACAGTAAGGACCAGTCAGTACATGTGTACATATCTAAGTATATATGTGTGTATATGTGTGTATATATGTGTATGTATATGTATATATATACGTATATATGTGTACATATATTTTCATCTTTTTTCACATGTTCATATATATGTGTGTATATATCATCCATCCATCATTATCCATCCATCATCAGCCATCCATCATCATCCATCCATCATCATCCATCCATCCATCATCCATCCATCCATCCATCCATCCATCCATCCATCCTCATTAATATAATATAATATAATATACTGATGGTCTTGTCCTGTGTTTGGTCAGTACTGACCAACAGACCCATCAGTCCAAACACCAGGTTGAAAAGATAGAAATTCATGAACCAAGTTTGAAACTAATCTTAACTCACCCTAACCCTGTTGATCTGTTGATCTGTTGATCTGTTGATCTGTTGATCTGTTGATGAAGTCTTTCTCTTCATCTCTGTAGATTTCACTTTCACCTCAGAGGCCTGTGTAGGCAGAGGAGGAGGAGGAGGAGGAGGAGGAGGAGGAGGAGGGGGGGGTCGTGACAGCTCTCTGGACCAGGACAGTCTGGGGGTCGGTGCGGCCTGTGAGGAGCACGAAGTGGCCAGTTTGACAACGTTGCACCTCGACTCAGAGACCAGCAGCCTCAGCCACACTGTTACTGTCACTGGTACGGACCAGAGTCACCGTCGCCGCTGCTCTGTTGTCATGTCATGTGACTCCTCTGCCCTTGTTCCTGTCCAGGGTCTGAGAGCGCTTCTCCCATGCATTCGCTCGGCGGCTCCCGCTCACAGACGCCCTCCCCCGCTACACTGACCATGGAGCACGCCGAACACACGCACCTGCAGCTGGACCAGAAGCTCCACCACTCCGTCCTGCAGACCCCCGATGACCTGGGTAACAGTCCACCTGTGCTGAGCTCCTGGTCCTCTGTGGACCAGCCGCCTCGTCTCTAACCGCTCCGTTCACCCTCCGTAGAAACCAGCGAGTTCCCGGGGGAGGACTGCAGCGTGATGGCGGGCGGCTCTCTCACCGGGTGGCACTCGGACGTCGCCACCGTGATGTGGCGAAGGATGCTGGGAATCCTGGGAGATGTGAACAGCATCAAAGACCCAGAGATCCACGCCCAGGTCTTTGACTACCTGTGTGAACTTTGGCAAAACCTGGCAAAGGTAAAAGCAGTCGGTAAAACCACAGGAGGCTCCCCACTGGGATGACTGCTGAAGAGTTCTGTTTTTCTTTTCAGATTAGAGATAATCTGGGCATCTCTCTGGACAACCAGTCCTCTCCTCCCCCGCCTGTTCTCATCCCCCCACTCAGGATCCTCACCCCCTGGCTCTTCAAGGTAACAAGTGGGGGGGGGGGGGGGGGGGGGGGGGGGGGGTACACGCGGCAGGAATAAAATGACTTAATTGG